TGGGTCTGGACCTATGCTTGTTGCGTGGCAAGTATGACTCCAAAACAGAAGTTAGAGCAATTAGAAAGCAGTCATGTTAAGGAAACATACTGCAAAGGTGAAATCTGCCCCTCTACACATGTGTTACTCTTCCCTCTGCTGCCTCAGCTTTACCTGGGTTTAGTTTAACTTAGTGTTTCTTGTCTACAGGAAGATCGCAGATAAAGATCCTCTGCTGACAGTTTAAATTCTCACACTTTAATCTGTGGATGTTGTTGATGTACTATATAAATATTAAAAAATTTAAAAAAAGCCCTCATCCTGCCTTGGTAGCACCTAAATGGACTTGATTCTAGTAAAAAAATACTAGCGCTAATAGAAATTCTGAATGCTATTAGGCTTCCAGATGCCCAACAAGAACTAGTTGTGTGCTTTCAGTGGAAGAGATCTCAATAATTAGCAGCTTGTCTTGGAACCTAGTGCTGCCAGTAAGTCAGGATAAAGCATGCCAGGAAATACCGGTAGCTGTTGAAAAAGGGAAGCAAAACAGTGTAAGTACTACTTCATTTAACATTTTTGTCTGAACCTATTAAACAGAGTCTATTTCCAATGTTCAACACAAAATTCAAGGAAAATTGTGTTATGGTTGCATTTTTTGGGTGTTAAAAATTTGTTGCTCGTTATCATCATGTTAAAATGATGCACTATTGCAGGTGGGCCCACCAAGCAGGTAGTGCTCCCCTAGGTCAGTGGGCGGCGGTGGTGCCAGTGTTTTAATTGGTAAATCAGAGCGTGGAAACTCAGTAATCGGAGTATGGAAACAATTTTCAATAGGCAGTATTGAGGATTATCTATTTCACTTCATCTTGCCTCACCTTCACAATTCATCCAATACGTGTTCACAAATGTTGCTGCAACGGCCAAACAGCAAAGTCCAGCCCTCCAAAGATGGATGGGGCTGGGTGGTGGCTACAGGTACCCATACGAGCTGCTTGGGTAGAAGACCCATGTCATGCAGGCAGCTTTGGAGGAAGGCAGAGGGGTGGCAAAACAACAGGTCTTCCAGCCTTTCAGAGCAGGCAGTTGCAGGAGAGAAGAGAAGGACAGAGGTGCAGCACCAGTGAAGTGCTTCAGTCCCCACATCGAGGTGTTTTAGGCCACAGGACACGAGAAATGCTTTTCCTGCCTGCTAGGGCAGCAGCAGGATGTGCTGCAGCGGGATTACTCCTTGAGCACAAGACGGTAGCTTTCTGCTCCACACTGCTCACCCTGTCCACGCTTACCTTTTTGCCTCCTGCTGTCTATGGTAGCACACAGATGATTCTGAGGATTGCAGAGCTCGACTTCAGCAACAGTTGGCAGCTGCTGTGATTACGGTAGAAAAAAGGGGAACTACACCACCGCTGCTTCCTCCCTCTGCTGCAGTGGCAGCCCTTTGCTTCAAAGCACTTGGCTGCTCTAGGGCAGGTTCTTAAGTTGAATTCAGTTTACAGGAGATCCAAAAAGCTTACACATGCAGCTATCAAACCGTACTTTACTCAAGATGCTGGTTCAAACCACCACTAACTATGATAATGAACCAAAGTAATTTAACATCTCAAAGTTGTGAGCACTGATCTTTTTTATACCACTGGCTCAGAAGAATTAGTGGAGCAGCTTGCCTAGCAGCTGAGAACTGTAGTTTGACTGGCTTAAGAACAAAGGGAGGTAATACACACTAGAGGTATAATTTTTTTTTATTCTGAATGTTGTCTGGAACAGTCCCTTACAATGTTGGATTTTCTGGTGGTTATCTTGCTTAAAAGGCTTAAGCACAGGCAAGGGTGATAATTGGTACAGGATTTTTTTGCTTAGGATGGCCATGTCTTGCATGTATTTGTATTTCTCTCAGTGTACCATTTATGTACAGCTGTTGGACTTCAGTGCCTATCAGATGCAGTAGCAGGTCCTTCAGTTTTTCCACCAACTTTTTGTCTTCAAGAAAAACACAACAGCCTACAGAGTTGCCTACAGCCATTTCCTGCCTAGACAGCTTTTCCAGTTGTTTTGAATTGGTTGTTTGGGATTTTATTTTGGGTTTGTGGTTGTTTTTTTTTTTAAGGCAGCGATGTTTTTCTGTGCCCCTCTATAATTTCATAAAAGATTGCCCTACTTTGGTCTTGGTTTGAGCTGAATTACTCCTGTTGAGTCCTTGGATTTAGTTATTATGAAATGTGTATATAATACTGGGCAGTGCCTTCATAACAGTGCATCAAAAGCTGAATGTAAGAATTGTAAACTTCTTTCTTATTCATTCAAAACAAAGGTCACACTTTCCCCAAGGAATCTGTTGCAACCAGCCTAAGAAATTTATCTCTTATGCAGTTTGCCAAAAGAGTTCACATTAGCCCTTCCTCACCCTGTCAATTAATGTTGCTATGTCTTAACCTGAGCTAGCATGAAAGAAAGGAGAAAAAAAAAAAAAGCAACCACAAAACACCAACCCTGCCTTAAGCATTGCTGGGAAAAAAAAAGTGCAATTGTGCAGGTATCACGTGTTACAGTCTGTGAGCTTTAAGCTACTCTTTACTTCCTTTGATTTTGGCTTTTTTTTTTCCCCTCAAATTCCTTAAGGAATTCCACAGGATTTTTACACCTTTAAACATAAAGGCTGTAGACACATTCTTTGGTGACGACAGCCCCAACAGAAACCAGGGAGGGAATAGACACAGATAGATGTCAAGGTCTTCCAGGTAGGTTTTTGAATGCTCAATGAAACCTTTTTGCTGTGCCACCATTTCTTGCTACAATAGTTAAGCTAAAACACAACTAACCCAAAATAGAAAGACTTGCCCTTACAGTATTTTTAATAGCAGAAACTGTATTTAAATCAACCCATAATATATGGCGAGCCCTCTTACCTCTGTTCACTCCTCCTGAATACCTTAATAAGGGAAGAAAGATTAAAAAAAAAAAATGTTCAGGCAGCAAAAGTATTAAGTTTATGCAGTTGATTTCATTAATTAATTGATTTTCATTTCTTTTGGTAAATTAATTTCAGTAGCTATTAAAATGGTTGGTTATCAGTTCTCATGCTTAAAAAGGGCTTAGTTTAGTCACAGTACTTTGTCTAGGTGCACAGAAAATGCAGTTCTCGTGCTAAACATCACACAAGTGAAACTGGACTGAGAAACATCCTTGATAACCCAAGATATCTTAAGGGAGATAACATGCTATCACCAAAAAATCCACTTCATCTACAATTGGGGTCAGCTCCTGAAGATGCAAAAATAAGCAAAAGCCTCATACAGGAACAGGCTACAACTCCAGTGACTCAGCCTCAAGCATCAAATTCACAACGCACACATCGCCTAGAAGTACTGCCACACCAGAGACACGCTTCCATCGATTATGTTTAGCCTTCTGTTGCACTATTTTTTAAAGATTGTCTGTGTGAGAACAGGAAAAATGCCCACAATAGCAGTGGGACAGGCTACACGTCTTTGGAGTGCTAGTCTCAACCTTCCTACAGGCCTGAGAACCTTATGTGAAACATCAGCCCTTTTACAGGTGACTACATACCTACTTACTACTACATACTTATCCCTGTAAACTATGACTTCCAGGCTAGAAAATGTATGGCTGAGTGTTAAGGAAACTTCTTCCTTATATTATTTCTGCCATACTAAAATTCATTTCTTAATTTGATATGAAGTTCCAGTAATACTGACAAACATAATGCAGAACTATGGATCAAATTGCCACTTGTCCATTTGCTTTTTGGACTAATACCACCACCTATTAAGTACAAAGGGTCCTCTTGCTGTCATCCCTATTTTCCAGCTTGAAAGTAAAGCAACTTAGACTAATTAAAGTTTAGGGGTTTTTTATCTCAGTTTCTGCTATATTGCACAGCTGTAGTTTTTACTGCTATCCAATATCCAGATAGAATGTTTTATTACAAGCTAGGTTAAGTTTGTAATGCAAAGCAGTCCTGTCACCTTGTATATTAGTGACCAATACCCTCCTGTCCCATCCCCCACCTCAAGTTATTTTTGTCAAAAATGTAATGCAAGACATGAAATAGCACTGAAACCAAGAACGGTTGTGCAAACACCTGGAACAGTTCTCACAATTTCAGTATAAAATTTCAGTTTCTTCTCCGTCACACCAATTCAGGTGTTTTTAATACTGTGATGTTAGAACAAACGGATGAGGACAAGAAAGAGCGCCCTACTGTGGTATGCAAAATTAGCTCTGCAAAATTAATTTTATGCTGCAGAATTTCCTGTGGTAACACAGAATGTGCACCTTTTTCACCCCATGTATATCTCTCACCACTTCACAAACACGACACACAATTTGAAATGTGCCCACCTTCACTCTGAACAGCAATAGCGGCCAATGGGAAGCTATTGCAGTAATTTTATTTAGACATCAAGGTACAGCCACCTGCATTCCCTAGTCAGGCTGCAGATTTTGCTCTGGCCACCGTATAACCCCACCTACGTTGAACAGAGGTTGCAACATCAATTGCTCCCAGAAAGAACCTGCTAAAGCATCCAGCTACACACACCACAGGACTGCTGCTGGATTCATCCATTACAGTGGTATGAGGATGTGACACAGTGCGACCAAACCCCTTAATTTCTACAGTTTCAAATTCTGCAAGGCCCAGATACTCTCCCTTCTCCACTGAGATCCAAGGCAAAAAAGGGTCAGCAAGCTGTGCTGCACTTTAATTGCACCAATACAGTTAAATGTTAAACAGAGAAAGCAACTCTACATAGCAAACGGAAAACAAGCATTTACATAGTAGATCTGTAAGATGTACAGACTATATAGTTTTAACCCAGTTGTCTATACACGAATATCCCACTGCAGGTTTTTGGTGTTAAAGTTACTTTAAATGGAAAACAAACATTTTCAGGTTCACATAGAATTGGCAAGTTATTGAGATGCAACCTTTGCTCCCTCATACACCAACACAGATGGGGTAGAGGGAGGGCAGGACAGGACACCCTATGCTTTTTCATAGCAGGAGAAATGGACTGGCCATCACTCCAGCTACTAGCACAGGTAGAAATGAGCAACGCTTTTCTGAATACACTTGATTTTGCCCCCCACGCCCCAAAAAGAGGCACAGCCTGTTACCCTGCCAGGACAGTTACCAAAGGGGAGTTAATACTACTGAGTTAGACACTGATAGTTCATTGGCAAAGCTATCCTCCCAAGCATGGTCAGTGTCAAGTGGAGAGGACATGTCACTGAAGGGCGATGGAGATCCTTCATATCCAGAGTCACTACAGGCATCCAACAGATAGCTTGAGGCTGCAAGGCTATGATGAGAAGAAAGCAGATGAGAGATGCCCAGTTCAGGCATGAAGCTGTCTACAGGTTCCTCTTTCACAGATACTGGGATCTCAGGGATAACTTTGTCTTCAGATGGAGAGAGAGATACTTCCTCAATTTTCACTAACATATTGGTTTGGTTGCCCATTTTAACCGGAATCTCCAGTATTAGGGGCTTTGTGTACACATGATCAAACTTTATCAGTTCATTAAGGGCCTCCAGCTTAGCTGATGGGGACCCCAAAGAGGGAGAGGGGGAGGTTGGTATGGAATTTGTTTCTCCACAGATCTCTTCCTCCAGCTTTTCCAGGCACGTTGACTCTGAATCAGCGTATTTAAGAAACATCTCTGGGTCCAGACCGTCCAGAAAGCCCAATAGGAGATCAGACTGCAGAATGAAATACTGTTTTAGAAAGACAGCCTACTACTTTACAGCAAAACATCAGTTGTGGCATCTATTAACCCTCATCTGGAAGTTAAAATACACTAACATGATCATAGAACTAGGAGTTTTGCCAAGAACACCACTATCAGAACAGACAGTTAAGGCAATTGCTTATCTTTCAGAAATTCTTCATCCATTAACTTTTTTTGTAAAGGTCCTGGCAATCCCCACAGAATTCTGCATGCATTTGATGTTCACAGCCTCTATCAGAAACTCCTCAAAATCTTGGACCCATCAGGTACAAACACCACACTACCTGTTGGCTTAATTGAGCAAGTACCAGAACCTGGCTTAGGCAGACCTGCCCATCACCAAAGTCAGGGATTTTGTTTTGGTTTTTTTAAAGGCGAAAGATACCTGTCCTTAAGTTTCTGGAAGTCATTCATACGTGACAGGCTTTAAGTTCAAACAGCTTTGCTAAGTGCCAGCACATCAGCAAAATGCTCAAGTTTTTCAACAACAGTAAAAGCACAGCATGCTTTTGGTATTCATACACTTTCGCTGTATGTGCTAATAGACTGTTTCAGGCAATATCCTGTAAGATTTTATGGAAACTGGACTTGTTCAAGTTGCATGAACAACTGTAGTCAATGGATACAGCCTGTTCCAAGCCACAGATATAGCAATGCAAGACTTGGAAAACAAGCCAACTATGGAAAGTCAACAAGTGGCTTTACATTAAGAAGTTAGTGACGATAGTCTTAAATCCACAGTGGTTCTAAATTCCATGAGCATTTTTGATAGGAGTGGATGCTCACCTCTGAGTCTGAAGAGTCACTGCCATCAGAATCCACATGGAAGTTATCAGAAATGGTGACTGCTGGGCCTGCACCTGCTGCAGAGGAACACGTAGTCTGAGTGCTGCGGACTCAGCGGACCCGGTCACCAATCTAATATCATCCACCTGTGATTCCTTCACAACCTGTGTTAAGAGAAAAAAAAAATCCAGTCACCATAAGTGTTCCATCAGAAATTACAGTACATAATCCTGAAGATATTCCCTTCCTGCAAAGGCTTCCAACATCAGATTCTCCACTTGCTTGTACAGTAGGAACCTGAAGGTAAGACCACTTCCAAAATTGGCTCAAGCCTCCATACATTTGCAGATTCATTTTCACCACTTTTGAATGAGAGCCTGACCTGCTCTACTATACCCCCTGGCCTTTTGACACCGGCATACATACATGACTGTAACAGTTCCTACCTCACCTCTAGAACAAGACATAGAAGAGCAGATGAAATATCTTAAGACAGCTTGAAACCAGTCAGCTCGCAACCTCCCACACCACCAGTGGCACCCACTTCAGACTCAGTATCCATTCAGTCTGTGGGAAGGCCACCATTTGGAGGACAAGAGTGTTTCTGGCACATGAAGGAGCCCTCTTCGCAGCACGGCAGTTTCAGCCGGAGAGCTCCAAGCACCGGGGTTGCTCCTCCCCGCCCACCGCCACGCAGTCACCTCTAACAGCGCGGCAGCTCTAGACAGGTTCTGCCCAGAGAGGGGGACAAGCGACCAGCATGGAGGAAGGCTCACCTTGGACTCGCTCTCCTCCTTCATCTTCAGAGCATCAAAACCCAGGCGGCAGCGAAGCTCCTGGTTCTCCAGAGCAAGGTTACACGTCTTCTCTCGCAGGAGCTGGTTTTCCAGCAGCAGCTTCTGGTTCTGCAGAGAGCCGTTAGGCAGAGAGGCCGTAGCGCCGGCCACGGCCGCCCCGTGGGCCCACCCAGCCCCTTACCTCTTCCTCCAGCTCCACCACCTGCTGCTCCAGCTCCGTCATC